ACAGAATGGCAAATTCGCCACTGGCGCCCTGTGCTCTTCACAGATGAAAGCAGGTTCACACTGAGCACATGTGACAGACGTGACAGAGTCTGGAGACGCCGTGGAGAATGTTCTGCTGCCTGCAACATCCTCCAGCATGACCGGTTTGGCGGTGGGTCAGTCATGGTGTGGGGTGGCATTTCTTTGGGGGGCCGCACAGCCCTCCATGTGCTCGCCAGAGGTAGCCTGACTGCCATTAGGTACCGAGATGAGATCCTCAGACCCCTTGTGATACCATATGCTGGTGCGGTTGGCCCTGGGTTCTTCCTAATGCAAGACAATGCTAGACTTCATGTGGCTGGAGTGTGTCAGCAGTTCCTGCAAGAGGAAGGCATTGATGCTATGGACTGGCCTGCCCGTTCCCCAGACCTGAATCCAATTGAGCACATCTGGGACATCATGTCTCGCTCCATCCACCAACGCCACGTTGCACCACAGACTGTCCAGGAGTTGGCGGATGCTTTAGTCCAGGTTTGGGAGGAGATCCCTCAGGAGACCATCCGCCACCTCATCAGGAGCATGCCCAGGCATTGTAGGGAGGTCATACAGGCACATGGAGGCCACACACACTACTGAGCCTCATTTTGACTTGTTTTAAGGACATTACATCAAAGTTGGATCAGCCTGTAGTGTGGTTTTCCACTTTAATTTTGAGGGTGACTCCAAATCCAGACCTCCATGGGTTGATAAATTTGATTTCCATTGATAATTTATGTGTGATTTTGTTGTCAGCACATTCAACTATGTAAAGAAAAAAGTATTTAATAAGATTATTTCATTCATTCAGATCTAGGATGTGTTATTTTAGTGTTCCCTTAATTTTTTTGAGCAGTGTATATGTCTATGCTTCTAATACTTACAGAAGAAATGCAATCAGCAATATTTAATAAATATTTCCTGTGCATTTCTCTTTACATTGTGCAAAATGTGTGCATGAACATATCCAAATAAGTTTTGTCTTTAAATATGTCAACACAGTAAAATCACAGTAATGTCAGATCATCTTAATTCTGCCATTCTTCTATCATTTCAATCCCAGACTCCACTCTGATGTGGTAGAGGTGGTCCTACACAGATTTTACTCCCGGAGTGTCTATGTAGATCTTAAGACTCCTTCTTTGGTAGCTGATTCTAGTGGTGACATTTGGGATGACTCTGGAAATGTCGTCCTCCATGTATTTCAGACACAGGCTAAATAGGGCTGGGGTGAGGGGACAGTCATGATGTAGACGTTTCTTATGAACAGGGGAATATTCAACCCTAAGAAGCAACTTCCGCAAGATACCCAAGTCCTGGGAAAGCACATTCTTCAAAATTGTGTCCTCTTTGGGAATGTTTTGAAGTGGGATTGTATTCATTGATTTAATTGCAATGCTTAAGAACTTCCAATTGATCTGTCTTTTGACATTAAGGACCAAAGTAACAGTGCAATGCGGACTCAGGGGTGCCTTGGTCCTTTCATTTAATAAGGGTTCCAAGAACATCTGCAGACGGTTGGCAAGTATTGTTGCAAATATTTTGTACTCTCTGTTGAATCCTTTAGGGGTTTTCTTATTTTCTCTGAGTACTTCATTATAATAGTGTTTTAATCTTTCTATTTCCATAAGGTTATCTAACGTTGATTTATATTGTGTTGAGTGTGTGGAATCATGTGGTTCACATGGTGGTGATTGTCTGGAGTCATCTGACCTTGAAACATATTTTGTTGATTGTCTATAGTCATCTGACCACATTGATGGTGATTGTCTGGAGTCATTTGACCTTGATGGTGATTGTCTGTAGTCATCTGACCTTGATGGTGATCGTCTGGAGTCATCTGATCTTGATCGTGATTGTCTGGAATCATCTGATCTTGATCGTGATCGTCTGGAACCATCTGATCTTGACCGTGATTGTCTGTTACCACCTGACCGTGATCGTCTGGAATCATCTGATCTTGATCGTGATCGTCTGGAATCATCTGATCTTGACCGTGATTGTCTGGAACCATCTGACCGTGATCGTCTGGAATCATCTGACCGCCAGTATGGTGATTGTCTGGAGTGATCTGACTCCATCTGGAGTCTTGCATCGTAAGGAGACAGTGTTGGACATCTATCACATGGTTGATGTTTTGTTGATTGTCTTGAATCATCTGACCTCGATGGTGATTGTGTATAGTCATCTGGCCCTGAAGTCACCACCTCATATGGTAGTGATTGTGTTGAGTCATTAAGGGATTTCATCGCCACTAGGACTTCAGCTCCACTGATTTTTCCTTGCCTTCTTGTTGTTTCACTGTCTCCTATCTGGCTCACTTTTCTGGGAATAACCTGTGTTATTGTACATTCTACTTGGACTCTCAGAGACACAGGATTGTGATCTGAAATCGCATTAGGTTGGTGAATCGTACATGTCAGAGCATGGTGTGCTTTGTTCTGTGGCATGAAGAACATATCTAACCGGGAGTGGCTGGTGCTCTGAGAATGAGTGAAGTCTTCTTCTATTGGTTGTAGTCTTGCCCATGTGTCTTGGAGGTTCAGTGAGGAAATGAAACTCTGCAGGAGAGGTCGTAAGGATGTGTGCCGTCTATGTTCAGATGCTGTACGCTTGTCAAAGTCAAGGTCAAAGACAGTGTTGAAATCCCCCCCAATCACTAAAGTTCCAATCTTCATCTCCTGAAGATACTGTGACAGCCTCCCCAGTACTTTCTTGTCATCTTTATGATTGTACACATTCACTAGAGTGAAGAGTTGACCATACATCTGACAGAACAGCACAATGTAGCCACCAGTGTAATCTTCATCATGGCAGATGTACTGATAGTGTGATTTTAGTTTTTTATTCACCAGTATGGCCACTCCTTTGCTACTTGGAGAGTAAACAGTGAAGTAAGAGGTCCAATGTCTTTCCATCTCTTTCCATCCATGTTTTTCCATCTCTTTATAGCAGTATTGTCCAATGTGAGTTTCTTGAAGGAAGATTACGTCACCATTCCTGCCATACTTCATTATATCAATCAGTTTATTTGGGCTGCGTTTTTTGGTTTAACACCACAAGTGTTCCAGGTGATGATTGAGAGACTATTTGCTGTAGATTTTGCCATAGTTCTTGCCATAGCTGTTTTTAGGTTGGATTCTATAACATAAAGATATTGAGTTCATAATAAATTGCTTTAAATCAGATCTTCACCCTTCTAACCGAAATATTCAGCCAGATTCAGCATGTATTTGCACACGCACAGAATTACCACAACTTTTTTCCAGAAGATAATGAAAAAAATAAAGCTTAAAGATGAATCTCTTATTATCTGCCATTTACCATCATCTACATGAAATAATAGTGAAGTTCTAGACACAGTTATTATGTCACCAACACATATTTAAAAAAGGTATAATAACCTCACCTGTGTAGTGCTGATCCAGGTGTGTCTTCTCTGTGTGACCTCTGATACTCAGGTGAGTCTATGTATACATGTAAATAAATGCCTCCATCCATACAAACATCTACACCCACCTCTGTGTCATACCAGAATTTACCAATTGGATAGATGTCAGTGATAAGACTTATGGAATGCCACCCGTAAAACAGAGCTACATAGGGGGGTGTGGGGAATTTCATTGTTGTTGTGTGTCTTGCTTTGAGAGGTAAGGAATGTCTTCTGAGAATTGCGTACGAACACTTGAGAACAAATTACCATTATTTTCATACAATTTCAGTGAGGAATAATGCAGGAATAACCTGATAACTGGATTATGATTTTTGATTCAGATTGTTGTTTCCTGAAAAACGGCACAGGTTCAGTGACATTTATATACTGTATTTATACATTTATATTCAATTAGTTGTATAGATCTGGATAATGTGTCTGTGCTGCCATCTTGTTAGAAGGTAACAGATTTATTTTATTATAGTGATTAAGAGTGACTTTCATTGTGTTCCATGCTGTTTAGCGCCCCCTAGTGGAGCTTTCTGGTACTTAGAATTATGTACGAAAACCCGGAAGTAAAGTTGTTATTATGCACGCGACAAGCAGCTAGAAACAACGTTACTGTACAGTTCTTTCAGTGCAACTATTTCTTGTTACGCTTCAGCCTCGGAAAATATTTGTTTGTAAGTTCAATTCAAGCATATTGCAAGTGATGATAATATTGTTATTGACAGAATTGCTTACTTATCAAAGTTAATTGGTTACATTTACTCACGCAAATTGCATTGACTTTCATGGATGCCGTTAGCTGTATTAGTTTGCTCGTGCGTCATGTAAAAGAAGTGTAAAACATACTATAGTTTGTTACTGTTTCTAGTGTAATATGCTTTATTATTGTACAGAGGTGTTTGTACATTATTAGAGTAATGAAAGGAGTTGGCTAGTTGTTACTCATAGAGTAATTATCTATTTAGTTGTCGTCATGCCAGATATATGGTAACTTGGCACTTGCTTTGTATTTATGCAACTTTCAACTTGAAATGTATAATGTACAGCTACAGTATGTCAATGTGAATTGAATACTAAAGTATATTATTTTCTGTATTTGCAGTTTCACAACATAAACGTTTTCAATACATTCGTTCAAGAAAAGTCACGCCTTGGAAGTTTTATTGAAGACTCAGTTGTTAGCTATCTGTCTAGTTTTGCACGGGAACGCAATTCCAGGGCAGAATAGTGTCAAACATGTTACAAACACCTACAGTTATTATTGGATAATTGATTATTTGATTCATACAGTGGTGTAAAGTACTTAAGTAAAACATATTTCAAAATACAACTTAAGCAATTTTGGGGGGTATCTGTACTTTACTATTTATATTTTTTGACTACTTTTACTTTTACTTCACTACATTCCTAAATGAAATAATGTACTTTTTAGTCATACATTTTCCCTGACACCCAAAAGGACTTGTAACATGTTGAATGCTTAGCAGGACAGAAAAAATTGTGCAATTCACACACTTCCAAAAAAAATCCTTGTTTATCCCTACTACCTCTGCTCTGGCTGACTCACTAAATACACATGCTTCGTCTGTAAATTATGAGTGTTTGTTGTGTGAAGGATTGGACCAAGGTGCAGCGTGGTATGCGTACATGTTTAATTAATTAATAAACACTTGACAAAATAACAAAAGCAACGTAACATGAAGTTTTAAATGGCTAACACACAAACAAGAAACAAGATCCCACAACATAGGTAGGCAAAAGGCTGCCTAAGTATGATCCCCAATCAGAGACAACGAGCGACAGCTGCCTCTGATTGGTAACCACACCCGGCCAACATAGAAATACACATTCTAGAATGGACACCCTGACCAAGCCAACTAGAAACAACAGGCTTTCTAGGTCAGGGCGTGACAGTGTTGGAGTGTGACCCTGGCTATCCATAAATTGGTGCCGTCTGGTTTGCTTAAGGTAAGGAATTTGAAATAATTTATACTTTTGATACTTAAGTATATTTTAGCAATTACATTTACTTTTGATACTTAAGTACATTTAAAATCAAATACTTTTAGACTTTTACTCAAGTACTATTTTGCTGCGTTACTTTCACTTTTACTTGAGTCATTTTCTATTGAATTGTATTTTTACTTTTACTCAAGTATGAGAATTGTGTACTTTTTCCACAACTGGATTCATATACTGTATGAACTTTATTTATTTTCCTTTCATTCTCCCCAATTTCGATCTTGTCTCATTGCTGCAACACCCCAAAGGGCTTGGAAGGCGAATGTCGAGTCATGCGTCCTCCGAAACATGACCCGCCAAAACGCGCTTCTTTACACCCGCCTGCTTAACCCGGAAGCCAATGTGTCGGAGGAAACCCTGTTCACCTGACAAGAGGTCATCCTGCAGGGGCCCGGCCCGCCACAAGGAGTCGCTAGAGCGCCATGAGCCAAGTAAAGCCCCTCCAGCCAATCCCTCCCCTAACCCCGGCGACACTGGGCCAATTGTGTGCCGCCCTATGGGACTCCCGATCATGGCCGGTTGTGATACATCCCGGGAACAAACCCCGGTCTGTAGTGATGCCTCTAGCACTGCGATGCAGTGCCTTAGACTACTGTGCCACTCGGGAGCCCCTGTATGAACTTTCTTATAGAACAATTAGGTCATTTCTATAAGTTCTCATGTGTTTGCTCAGTTTGTACAGGGACAACGGATGATTATTGTGTCTTACTGTTAAATGTCCTTTTGTGATTCCCTTTGCTTATTACAGTGGCAATGTGAACACATCCTGTGATTCAACAGCAAACACTAGATACAGGTATAGGCTCTCTCTCTCTCTCTCTCTCTCTCTCGTCTCTCTCTCTCTCTCTCTCTCTCTCGTCTCTCTCTCTCTCTCTCTCTCTCTCTCTCTCTCTCGCTCTCTCGCTCTCTCGCTCTGTGACTGGTCCGCTACGCCATCTACTTTGATTATACTGGTTACACTGGTCCAACTGGGCTGTAACCTCTGACACTCTGGGATTGGAGAATAGACCCTGCTACTCTGTAGTCGTAATCTGACCATATCTACGATTAACTGGACCTGTGGCTGGTGGTTTACCTCTCAGATTGGGATTGAATTGGGAGAAGGTGAGAGAGGGAGGTTTCTGTCCCCCCTTACCATCTTGTTGTTGCATGGGGACTCTCTCACCCCACTCCTACTTCTTCAACTTGTCTCCTTCTTCAGTCTTAAAAGGCAATCAAAAGGAATTGTGGGACACACACTGAAGGTACCGCATCACCTAACCTCACTCTAGTGAACCCGCTCCGATCCGCATCAGCTGATTTTTGGCAGATGCTCCTGACCAACCAGGTGTACAAGTATTTAGACTGCTGATCACTTAACCAGGTGAGGCCCTCCACCAATGAGGAGAGGTCTAAAGCTGGTGTTTATGTTCGAATAGAGGTTCTTATTTTAACACAGTAGACTCTGCCTTTAGGTTTTTCAGGTAAATATTGATGTTTGTACAGGTCCAGACATCCATTTAGAAACAAATCTGTTTAATTTTACATGGCTGAACGTGAGTAAATTCAATGTTATTATCAATGTAATTTAAATGATTTAAAATGTTATTTTGCTTGTGTAGTATCTGTTGCTTAGATCTATGACATTTATGAATGTATTACTTCAATGTCATTTCATTTTTTTTCCAATCACAAAATAAATATCAGGGAACACTAAAGTGCACTTGTTGTGTTGAAGTATGTGTAACGAATACAGTGCTTTCGGAATGTATTCAGACCCCTTGACTTTTTCCACATTTTGTTACTTTACAGCCTTATTCTAAAATTGATTAAATAATCATCCTCATCAATCTACACAAAACACCCCATAATGACAAAGCGAAAACAGGTTTTCAGAATTGTTTGCAAATTTAAAATAAATAAATAACAGAAATGTCTTATTTACATAAGTATTCAGACCCTTTGCTATGAGAATCGAAATTGAGCTCAGGTGCATCCGGTTTCCATTCATCCTTGATATGTTTCTACAACTTGATTGGAGTCCACCTGTGGTAAATTCAATTAATTGGACATGATTTGGAAAGGAACACACCTGTCTATATATGGTCCCACAGTTGACAGAGCATGTCAGAGCAAAAACCAAGCCATGAGGTCGAAGGAATTGTCCGTAGAGACAGGATTGTGTCGAGGCACAGATCTGAGGAAGGGTACCAAACAATTTCTGCAGCATTGAAGGTCCCCAAGAACACAGTGGCCTCCATCGTTCTTAAATGGAAGAAGTTTGGAACCACCAAGACTCTTCCTAGAGCTGGCCGCCCAGCCAAACTGAGCAATCGGGGGAAAAGGGCCTTGGTTAGGGAGGTGACCAAGAACCCGATGGTCACTCTGACAGAGCTCTAGAGTTAGTCTGTGGAGATAGGAGAACCTTCCAGAAGGACAACCATCTCTGCAGCACTCCACCCATCAGGTCTTTATGGTAGAGTGGCCAGACGGAAGCCACTCCTCAGTAAAACGCACATTGGAGTTTACCAGAAGGCACCTAAAGACTCTCAGACCATGAGAAACAAGGTTCTCTGGTCTGATGAAACCAATATTGAACTCTTTGGCCTGAATGCAAAGCGTCACGTCTGGAGGAAACCTGGCACCATCCCTATGGTGAAGCATGGTGGTGGCCTCATCATGCTGTGGGGATGTTTTTCAGCGGCAGGGACTGGGAGTCTATTCAGGATCGCGGGAAAGATGAACTGAGCAAAGTACAGAGAGATCCTTGATGAAAACCTGCTCCAGAGCACTCAGGACCTCAGACTGGGGCGAAGATTCACCTTCCAACAGGACAACAACCCTAAGCACACAGCCAAGACAATGCAGGAGTGGCTTCGGGACAAGTCTCTGAATGTCCTAGAGTGGCCCAGCCAGAGTCCGGACTTGAACCCGATCAAACATTACTGGAGAGACCTGAAAATAGCTGTGCAGCAACGCTCCCCATCCAACCTGACAGAGCTTGAGAGGATCTGCAGAAGAAGAATGGGAGAAACTCCCCAAATACAGGTGTGCCAAGGTTGTAGCATCATACCCAAGAAGACTCAAGGCTGTAATCGCTGCGAAAGGTGCTTCAACAAAGTACTGAGTAAAGGGTCTGAATACTTATGTAAATGTGATATTTCAGTTTTGTTTTATTCATAAATTTCTATAAACCTGTTTTTGCTTTGTCATTATGGGGTATTGGGTGTAAATTGATGAGGGGAAAAAAATGATTTAATCAATTTTAGAATAGGCTGTAATGTAACAAAATGTGGAAAAAGTCAAGGGGTCTGAACACTTTCCGATGCCACTGTATATCATAAACCTAAAAATTATAAATGTTTTGTTTTTAAAAGTGAGAGATTTAACTGAAACTATTGTTCTTAATTTAATCCCCCAAAAACGAGTGCATCTTTAGTGAAATTATTAATTCTGATTATTTGCTTACCTTAATCCAACATCATTTGTTGAGAAATTTCCCCCCATACATTTTTCTTAAATATTGGCTTTTCTGGGCTGCAGTGGTTCCCACATTCTAATGCTGTCTTTGGTCACAGCATTTAGAAAATTATATTTTATTTCCGAATAAAATGTTGACTATTAGTTATGCCTGTAAGCGCTTACTAAGGAAGAGGAGTCTGTGATAATGCTTTACACACACATTTGGGTATCAATATGATTTATATGACAGTTAAATGATTGTGTTTGGTCTGAGCAGGTTATTCAGGAATGTTATGATTATTACAGTGGTGTGAACCCTGATGTCTGGAACCTTGTTGTTAAAATCTGGTGCTCCCAGAGTTAGAATTTATTACAATCAGTTCATACGAAGAATACTTTTTTAGTTTTGTGGGTTTTAGTTTTTTAGTTTTCACATTTTAATGAATAATGTACCATCTTCTATGAAGAGCGAACTGCAATAAGACTTTTGATATTTGTGAATTATCCTTTTTTATTTGTCTTAATTTGTTCTTTTTTTTACTTCAGCAAGTCCTATTATCAAAATGAATTTAGACAATATACACACACAAATACACACACACTTGCAAATACACACACATGCAAATACACACCTTTCTTTTGGAAGAGAGACATATTATGTACAATGCACAGGAGTATGTTCATAATGAGAGCTCAGGGACTTCAGATTCACTTGTGGTTTCAAAGGCCTTTGTAACCTGAGAAACCCATCAAAATATTGAGTTGATTTTATATTTGATATACAGTCGGCAGAACCCTGATAAGACTGAGACATTGCATACTCCTGGAAGCACTTCTCCTTCATGCATCATAGGTTACCTCAAACATCTATTAAGTATAATATTTAGCTACAGTAGTTATTTATATTCCTATCAAGACGGATATGCAATGACGAATACAGCAATATGATTTTTAAAAATAAGATACAGTTACATCTAAATAACATATACGTTTGAAAATACATTTACGTTTATATTGGTAGTAATGTATAGGCCCAGATATCACATATCCCTGGATATGAAGTCTAATTCCACTTATTTGATTGTTTATGATCTAACCTGATGACATGTTTGTCACAGATAATACATGCTCTGTAGGACTGGTTCTGGGTTTCACTTTGCTCCTAACTTTCCTTCCTTTGGGATCCCATCCATCGTAGTGGATTTGGTTTGGTGTGGGTCTGGCTGGCCATGGGTCTGGTGATAGCTGAAGACACCGATGGCTGAACAGGCGCTCAGGGCCCATAGCATGCAGTATGGAGAGCACTGGTTCAACACTTCATGGATGTAGTTCCATATATGTTTCTTATATTTTCATGTTATTTTGTTTATCTCATTGTGAAGCTGAAGGCAATATCCACATTTAGAGAACAGTAACAGTTTCTCTAATAATCTTCAAAGAACGTTTCATTTCATTTGAATGTCCATCATCTTCCACAATTTTACATTCAATTACCTTCCAACTCAGGCCAGACTCCTTTCTGATTTCAGACAGCAGTTTGACCACAGGATGCTGTTTCTCTTGTTCCATGTAGATCAAAAGACTCTGTCTTTGACGGCTAACACTAAGGACTGTGCCTGTCTTCTGGATTCGGTGCTCCATGTACTTCAGACACAAGTAGAGTAGTGCTGGGGTGAGGGGGCATTCATCCTGTAGATTTTTTTGGGGAACCGCGGAACTTTCAACCATTGGGAGTAACTTCCACAAGATGCCCAAGTCCTGGGGAAGCACATGCTTTAGGATTGTGAAGTCTGTAGGGGGAGAATGAATTATGAGAATGGACTCCAGGGCTGTGCTTAAGAATTTCCACTTAATCGATGGTTGCCTGGACAGGGAAACTATGTATCTGGTAGTATGTGGTGGTATTTTAATCCTTCCTTTGAATGAGGGTGCTAGGTACATCTTCAGACGGTTGGCAAGTATTGTGGCAAATATTTTGTACTCTCGGTTATTGAATCCGTCAGGTATTTGTTTCTCCCCGCTGAGCATTCCATTGTAATTATGCTTTAATGTCTGTGTTTCCATAAGGTTATCATCCCTTGATCCATTTGATGAGTCGGTCAAGGATTTCATTGCTATAAGAACTTCTGCTCCACTGATTTTTCCTACTCTTCTATCTAATATGGTATTGTCTATTCGTCCACCATCAGCCAGCTTTTGATGAACATCTGTTAACGTACTTCCTATTTTAGGAATGTGGATCATCAGAGACACAGGTTTGTGATCTGAAATCTCTGGGACAGTGTGAATCTCACAGCTCTGAGCACATGTGGCTTTGTCCTGTTGCATGAAGAACATATCTATCCGGGAGTGGCTGGTGTTCTGAGAGACAAAGACACTCAGAGACAAATGACATTCTTTACATACAAGTTCAGTGACGGTAGTGCAGGATGTACTAGATAGCTGGGTTATGGTCTTCATTATGATTCAATGAACTGTCTTGAGGTCCTTTCTATAACTTCACAAAGCTCTCCTGTGTTTGTTCAGTCTGTACAGAGACAATGGAGGATTACTGTGTCTAAAGTGTTAAATGTCATTTTGTGATTCCATTTACTAATTACTGAGGCAATGTGAACACACCCTGTTATTCAACAGCTAAAACTAGATAGATCACCTCATGTACTCTCTTTCATCCACACTGAGCATATTGCTTTTACCGGTCACCTGATGAGGAGAGGGTGCTTTAACCCTAATCCCAAATCTGGAAGATTGTCCAGGTTCAAGCAATCCACCTACCCTTGCTGTAGAATTAAAGCTAGACACAAACTTAAATCACCTCACTCAGTCACACCTCACATGAGTGGGTTCAAAGAACTCTCTCCAACTCTTTCTCTCTATATATCTTCTCTTCTCTCTCTCGCTCTCTCCACTTTCATCCCCTTTAAATGTGACACTTTTGATACTGAACAACCCATTTCCTGCGTTCTGGTTGGTCGACTTTATATGCAGGTCAGTTTGTGATTTTCATAGACTCAAAGGTCTCGCTCCTCTATTTCTTGTTCTCTCTCTCTCTCTGTCTCGCTCCTCCAGATGATTTCTAACAACTGAGAATCCATTCATCCTGAGTGTTCACCATCCCTCTCAGGAAGGGGAGCTGAATCGCTGTCTCATGCTGCCTCTGTCTCCTCTTACACTGAGGGAGCCAGCATGGAATTGGATTAGAGACGTTCCTCTATAGAACATGCTCACACTATCTGAAGAAGGCTTACATCTGGGGATGTTAAAGCGATGGTTCATTACCAAATCAAAGTCTGTCAGATGTTTTTCACACCTTTTTCACATCAACAGTGGTCTAAAGTCAAGCTGTGTCTGTATTCCATGCCATCTGTTGTGTAAATAAATTCAGCAATATGCATTATGGGAAATCTGCAGGCCTCCATCCCAGACAAATGGGAAAGATTGGCACCATCTAGCTCCTGTTTATTAGACTGTGAAACTTTGATAGAGAAAGTTGGACATTAAATACTAGTGAATGAGGGTGAACGGAGCAAAGGGAGGAAGTGGAAGACAGAGAGAGGATGGTATTGAAGGAGAAAAGACATAGAATGATGGATTGCGGTGGAGGATGGGGGAAGAAAGAGGGTGGGAGGGGGAGGGATTGAGGGAGAGAGAGATGAGGAGGGTGGGATCAGGAAGTGTAGGTGTTTTGGTAGTTAATAGATGAGCTGAGTCTGCTTCAGTTAAACAATCTGACCCTGATTGCTGAATAAACAAGACACCTGCTCGACTGAACAATAAAACACACGCACACACATTGCATTTGTAATTGACAACACATAGTTATTTTCATAATTTGTTGAATTTTTTCAAAATTAGGCCAATTTTAAAAAACACAGGAACACTGAAAGTTCACCAGTGATGACACTGCCCAAACCAGGACCCTAGGAATGAACCCTAGGAATGCTGAAATGGAATTCAGTGACTGGTCTGCTACGCCCTCTACTGGGATCATACTGGTTAGACTGGTCCCACTGGGTTGTAACGCTTTGAACACACCGACTGCGTCATTGCGCAAAATAGTATGCAGCATCATCTAGATATGTGTGCAACAAAAGTTCCACATTCACCTTCTACTACCATTTCTGTCAACCCGTTTACGCATACAGTTCGACACATACGTTCAATAAATCCAATGTACGCACCACACAGAACGCACTGCAACTGCCTCTGCAACGCAAGGCAAACGCAGCGTTCCATTGGAAATGAATGTGCTTCTGGTGTACCAAAATGCTATGACGCAGTCGGTGTGTTCAAAGCGTGACACCTGACACTCTGGGATTGGAGAATAGACCCTGCTACTCTGTGGTCTTCATCTGACCATATCTGGGATTACCTGGACCTGTGGCTGGTGGTTTACCTCTCAGATTGGGACTGAATTGGTAGGGGGTGAGGGAGGGAGATTTCTATCCACCCTCCACTTCTTGTTTTGGCATGGGGACTCTCTCACCCCACTCCTTACCCCTGTCCCCCCTTCTTCAGTCTTAAAAGTCAATCAAAAGGAATCTTGGCACCCATTGGCTGATTGGCGAATGCTGCTGACCAACCAGGTGTGCAGTTATTTGGACTGTCTGCTGAGCACTTAACCAGGTGAGGCCCTCCACCAATGAGGAGAGGCTCAAAGCTGGTGTTTATTTGAATATATGTTTTTGTTTCAGCCCAGTAACGACTCTGCTTTAGGTGTTTCAGTTAAATATTGATGTTTTGTAGAGGTCCAGACATATGTTGGCATCCAAACATGTTTTTTTATCATCTGTTCATTAAACAAATAGCATAAATGAATTCAATGTTATTATCAATGCAATTTAAATTCATTACTTTTATTTTGATTGTGTTTATTATCTGTTGGTTAGATATATGACATTTATGTATTTATTACTTCAATGCAATTTCATTTTCCAATCACAAAAGTAATATCAGGAAACACTAAAGTGCATTTACAGTAGAAGTGTGTTACAAATATCACAAACAAATATACATGTTGTTTTGTTTTTAAAAGTGTATGGGATAATTAATTAAAATTATTGTTAGTAATTACTTTATTACTTTACACACACATTTGGTTCTCAATATTCCTTAAATGACAGTTAAATCATTTGTTCTGGTCTACGCAGGTTATTCAGGAATGTAATGATTATTCCAGGGGTGTGAACACTGATGTCTGGAACCATGTTGTATGAAGCTGGTGCTCCAAGATTTAGAGTTTATTACAATCAGTTCATAGGAAAGAATATTTGTTGTTTTGTCTGTTTTGTTTTGTGTGTTTTCACATTTTAGTGAAGTATGTAGTATCTTCTATGAAGAACGAACTGCAATCTGAGCCCTTTTTTACAAGGCCAGACAACAAAATAAAGATGATTGCAATAAGACTTTTGAATTTTCTTAACTTCGCTATTTGTGGATTTTCCTGGTTTATTTGTCTTCATTCTTGTTTCTTTGTTTTACTACAGGAAGTCCTATAATCAAGACGAATTTAGACAGTATACACACACATACAAATACACATATGCAAACACACACACATATACAAATACAGACCTGTATTTGTGGAAGACAGACATATTTTGTACAATGCACAGGAAGGAGTATGTTCATAATGAGACCTCAGACTTCAGAATAAACCTTGTGGTTTCAACGGCCATTGTAACGTGAGAAACCCAACGGAATATTGTGTTGATTTTATATTTTATCTAAGGTCGGCAGAAACCTGATAAGACTGAGATATTGTATACTCCTGAGGGTACTTCTCCTCCATACATAATACCTCATACATCTATACAGTATGTGTAACCATGAATACAGTAATATCTGCACTTTTTAAAGACACACATCTATATGTTTGAAAATACATTTACATTATATCGGTTGTAATGTATAGGCTGTTGTGAATCCAGATATCCAATATCACGGAATATGAAGTGTAATGCCTCTTATTTCATGGTTTATGATCTCACCAATTGAGCTACACGCCTCTGTAGCTCAATTGGTAGAGCATTGGTGCTTGTAACGCCAGGGTAGTGGGTTCGATCACCGGGACCACCCATACGTAAAAATATATGCACACATGACTATAAGTCGCTTTGGATAATAGCGTCTGCTAAATGGCATATTATTATTATTATTATTATTATTATTATTATTATTATTATTATTATTATTATTATTATTATTATGTTTGTCCGAGATAATGCATGCTCTTTAGGACTGGTTCTTGGTTCGACCTTCACTCACTGTGTGTGGCCTGGTGGCAAAGGGATAGTTTTATCTGGTAAGTATCTGTTTCTAGGTTGGATTCTATAACATAAAAAATATTGAGTTCATAATAAATTGCTTTAAATCAGACCTTCACCCTTCTAACCAAAATATTCAGCCAGATTCAGTATGTATTTGCACACGCACAGAATTACCACAACTTTTTCCCAGAAGACAATTTAAAGAACAAAGCTTAAAGATGTATTTCTGATTATCAGCCATTTACCATCATCTCCATGAAATAATAGTGAAGTTCTAGACACAGTTATTATGTCACCAACACATACAGTGGGGAAAAAAGTATTTAGTCAGCCACCAATTGTGCAAGTTCTCCCACTTAAAAAGATGAGAGAGGCCTGTAATTTTCATCATAGGTACACGTCAACTATGACAGACAAAATGAGAAAAAAAAATCCAGAAAATCACATTGTAGGATTTTTTATGAATTTATTTGCAAATTATGGTGGAAAATAAGTATTTGGTCAATAACAAAAGTTTCTCAATACTTTGGTATATACCCTTTGTTGGCAATGACACAGGTCAAACGTTTTCTGTAAGTCTTCACAAGGTTTTCACACACTGTTGCTGGTATTTTGGCCCATTCCTCAATGCAGATCTCCTCTAGAGCAGTGATGTTTTGGGGCTGTCGCTGGGCAACGGACTTTCAACTCCCTCCAAAGATTTTCTATGGGGTTGAGATCTGGAGACTGGCTAGGCCACTCCAGGACCTTGAAATGCTTCTTACGAAGCCACTCCTTCGTTGCCCGGGCGGTGTGTTTGGGATCATTGTCATGCTGAAAGACCCAGCCACGTTTCATCTTCAATGCCCTTGCTGATGGAAGGAGGTTTTCACTCAAAATCTCACGATACATGGCCCCATTCATTCTTTCCTTTACACGGATCAGTGGTCCTGGTCCCTTTGCAGAAAAACAGCCCCAAAGCATGATGTTTCCACCCCCATGCTTCACAGTAGGTATGGTGTTCTTTGGATGCAACTCAGCATTCTTTGTCCTCCAAACACGACGAGTTGAGTTTTTACCAAAAAGTTATATTTTGGTTTCATCTGACCATAT